AATAAAAGTACCAGCTGTTTATATAAAAGTAAATGCATGATTAAAGATGTTTTAGTATGAGGTTGTCACACTGCATGACATTGTAAAGTGACACAAACTTTCTTATTCAGGTACTGCAGAGTGTTTCCTGTTTACTCTGGTGCCCCAGACAGGCATATTTCGTTCCACAGGCTATAATGGAAATTATATGTACCTCAACTATCTAGAGAAAAATACCATGCCTAATGGACTGGTAAGATAATTGTGATAGTTGTATTTACATTAGCGATTTGTGTTAGAAAATTTTCATATGTAATTTCAAGTCATATTGTAAGATATATTGTCTATATGTTTCTTAGTCAGGTTTAGGATTAGAATTTCACTGACTTGATTGTGGGCCTGGTTTTCTGTTTACAGGGCATGGGTGGTAGAGAAGAGTTGTTTGGATTCTGGCTTGATTATGACTTCGGCAAGGGAACTGTGGCTCCCACCTGTTCCACTTTCCGTAGCCCTCCCCTCTCCCCCCACCAAGAGCTGGAAATTCAAGGAATAGAAGTGTGGGCTGTTGGTCCAGAGGAGGAAGATTCTGATGAAGTAAGTAGTAGGGAGTGTTAAGTTCCATAAAAGTGCATTTCACTTCTGATCCTGAGATGCAAAAAATATTTTTTGATAAATTTTTGTTAAATCTTGAAAAGTATCACCATGCCTTCTCCCAAAATTAAATGATTTCATGTGAGATATCCCCATAAAATTTTTTATATCTAAACATAGATATATAGATATAGGTATGTATATAGATATATAGATGTACATAGGCGAATTTATATTACTATGTATAAATATATATTCCTTATGCATGTTTAGAAACAGTAATTATTTTGATATGATCATTTTAGTTGAATTTTTTTTCTCTTTTTCTCTCAAACCCACGTGCATCACAACTATCAAAAACCATATAAACTCATACTGTAATTTTTTTTCCCAAACCACAGGAGGGAACTCGGCAGAGGAGTGCACTGGACAAGAACCCAGATGCCCAGGCTCTGCTTGATATGATTGGCAAGACTCGAGTCAGTGAAGGTTTGCGAGAAGCTGAAGAGAGTGACTAAGACCTTTCCCTTGTCCAAAGGCATATAGAACAGGTGTTGACTAGGTACAAATAGCTTGAATGTCACAGTACTAAGGATAGATGTTTATCTAGTAGATATATTTTGTTGTGTAGGAAGTAGTGAATTTTATGTTTGCATTTTTTGCAGTAGGCAGTTGTGGAGAAATGTGACTGATGGTAGCTTAATGTTTTGTTCATACTGTCCAGTAAAAAAACCTGACTGTGCAAGGGAAGAAAGATGTAGAACTCTTTAAGATCTTAAAGAACCCATTGTTGATTTTTTCCTCATCTCTCGGGTGTTTCATTTCAGAGGAAAGGTGTTCTTCTGGATCATTACAGCACTGTTATTTGTAATAATTTGTTTTGAAGGTCAATGCCACAAAATTTTGTATGTGATGTGTGTAATGCTGTTTGTGCGCAACGTGGTGTGTAGAAAAGTATATTTGTAGAAACTTTGATAGAAGAGAAAGAATAGTAGAAAGCAATCATTTTTTATTATTGATTTGTTAATTTTTTACATTTTTTTAAAGCTGACATCTTGAAATTTATTGGAACCACTGACTTCCATGTGTAGGCTAATGAAAATTAACTGCAGATTCTGTAGACTAGAGGAATGGAAAACTGCTTTCTTAGATTTTGAGATTGTGATTTTTTTCCATAAGTGTAAACAGACTGTTTGATATACACATTCCAGATGCACATTCCAACATGGCCTGATAATCTGCCTTTGAACAATATTCTGCATTTCCTAACACAGAAGATGGTACAGGTGATATGATTACTGCCTTTATGTAACCTGTAGACTATGATGGTTGTTTACTTAAGCAGATCCACAGTGTACAGTCCTTGCCACTTTTTTGAGCCTTGTGAAATGCCAACAAATATGCATATATATCAGATGCATTTAAGGCTTTAGCTTGATATAGTTATAAAGTAAAAAACATAGCTGTGTTGTGTTGTGTTGTGTTGCCTTGTGTCCCTTTATCCAACATCAAAGTAATGTTTTTGTTTTATTTTGCTATAATAAGCATATTATTATATATTCCATTATTCTTGTTTATATACATTTTTCTAGACTCTGCTAGGTTTTCCATATTTTTATTATCCTTTTCTCCTTGTGTTGCCTTCATCATAAATTTGATTTTTATTATTCATGTATAAGAAGTCACAAGATAAACGAACAGCCCTTGCAGTTTACAGGTTTTGTAGGTATAGTTTAAGAACTTGTCAGAACTACTGTATATGTAAGTCACAAGCAGATATAACAATGTACAGACTTAATATCTTTGAAGTGTACAGAATTAATATTGTTGAAGAGCATAAAACCATGCTTGAGTTCTCACAATTCAACCTGTGTGATATTGTGAATTCTGTTGAACTGCTCTTGTGGACATGCCCTTTAGGTGCTAAGACACAGGGTAATTGACAGCAATGCATTTTCTTCTTTGAGAAAGAATAGCATCTTATTAGGTACATAATACAGCAACCGAGTTGGGGCCACCTGAAACTAAATAGGCTATACTTTTAAGAAATACAAATTATGCCTTTGCCATTGTGTTTCAAAATGATCAGCTGTTCTTCCAAGATATTTTGATGGGCCAGTGTTATGTTTTTTTATGTATTTATTTTTGTCATGAAGGTGCATTTGTGGTACAGTTGTGCTGTGAGTGTGAATCTAAATAGGTTGTGAGTTTCATTTATTTTTGATATTGTAATTAAATACAATTTGAAAAGTAATACTCATAGTAATGTTTAGGTGTATATAGCAGTGCAGTTGATATATATATGAATATTTGTTTTGTTCCTTTAATTATTTGTAATAATACTTATAATTGTAATGATATAACCTGCCTTGCAGTGTAGTCCATTTGATGGCCCATTCTGTTTTTTCCATTCATTTTTTGCTGTTGCTAAGTGAACTGGTAACTTCTTGCCCATAGCATAACTGCTTTTAGGTGTACATTGTACAAATAAGGAAAAGTTACTATTAAGAGTGCAATAGTTTATATATATTTTCAGAGACTCATTCGTACAAGAGTTTGAGAATCATTCTATTTTATTCTCTCCTTATCTTTTTGTAATGTAGATAATCTTTTGACATAAAGTATACCAAATAACAAGAAATCATGAGGGTAATGTTACAGGTATCTTTCTGCCTCTTGTGTACGAATAACTTTCCTGTCTCCTGTGTCTCCAGTTTTCCCATTGTCACAGAGTACATTTACTCCTTAAGGATCTCTTGGCATATACCTTAACCCTCCTCAGTGGAGCTTTATCTATCTGTCACCTTCTCCATTTTAAGTCTGAGACTTGGTGGTCTTAACATTTTAAAAATTATCATGTGTTAATGAGTAGATGTATTATATTGCAATAATTACAGAATTTTCATTAGAATGATGGTTATTTTCAGATCAGTGTAAAAACAATCAGTTTAAATCAGCACAAATTGCCCATGAGAAGGCATCTGACCAATTTGGTTTGACTTGTGACAATACAACATCTGGTGTAGAGCAAAATGAAATTCTGGTGCACAGATGAAGATTGATATTAATGAATTAATAGGTGTGGTGTTTTATGCTTGTCTTGAATATTTTGTCTTGTTGTTACAGGTATATACAGGTAAACACTGATAAACTGTGTTCTTTATCAGGTATAATGTAGCTCTTAGGCATGTTATAGGAGAACCTGAAGTATTTGGTTATAACATCATAGGTTCTTTGTTCATGTTAAAGCATATGTTTAGAAATGCTGGTTTAGACTCAATAGCCAGGCGCAGTAGAAAATAGGTCTTTGTTTCAAAAACATTTTCAAGTAGGAACCTTGCGTCCAGATCGGAAATCATTTTAGCTAGATAGGTATACTGTAAGCACCATTTCTGTTTGCTCTAAACCAAATGCCGTGAGTTAGTGGATGTCAAGCTGCATAAACTACCAGTGGAATTAATAAAGAGATTGAGAAGTCTTTCTCACAATCAAAACAAATGTTGAAAATCTAGTCTGACTTGTAAGTGAGTAAGAGGACCAGAGTATCCTTGTGAAGATTTATTTCTGGTCTGTTGTTAGTCATTTTATGTAAAAAAAAATAATGTAATACATACATATATACACTAACATATCCACACATATCCACACACATCCACACACATCCACACACATCCACACACATCCACACACATCCACACACACTCGCACCACCTGCAGTCCCATCTTACAAATGCACAAAGGCATAAATATGCTCAAAAACATGTACATACAAACACCCATACAAACACAGACTTGTGTACATGCTAACTCAAACTCATACTCAAACACCAACACACACAGACACACACAGACACACACAGACTCACACAGACTCACACAGACACACACAGACACACACAGACACACACAGACTCACACAGACACACACAGACTCACACAGACTCACACAGACTCACACAGACTCACACAGACTCACACAGACTCACACAGACTCATACAGACACACACACACACACACACACACACACACACACACACACACACACACACACACACACACACACACACACACACACACACACACACACACACACAGACACACACACACACACACACACACACACAGAGACACACACACACACACAGACACACACAGACACACACAGACACACACAGACACACACAGACACACACAGACACACACAGACACACACAGACACACACAGACACACACACACACACACACACACACACACACACACACACACACACACACACACACACACACACACACACACACACACACACACACTCAAACATATACATACATACATTCATACATATACAATATATATAATGTATGCATGTTGATATGTATATGCATATGTTTTGAATGTAAATAATTTTAATAATTAATAATCAGTTTTGTT